AACGTGTATATTTATCATAAGGTAGACTTCCTTATAATGGCGTAAACATCTAAATCTGGCGTTACACCGATTATTGTGTATGACCGATAAATAGGAAGTACACAACACTCATTAAGGTAAAAACTACAACTAATCAAAATAGGCTCTTCAGACCAATAGTACGTATTTGTGTACTAGAATATTGCTTCTGTAATTCTCAATGTTTTTAAACGTGTTTTTATGGCCATATACAAAAATAAATACCTTTTAACTGCGTCACAAAACAAAATTGTAAATCGATAATGTCTAAAAATTATAAATAAGAAATTCCAATATTTTCTATAACAGTATGTTTCTCATTACAAGTATAAGAAAATTTATCAATTGAAAAATACAAAGATTGAAGATATAAAACTGCCCAGATAAAAAGATTTATAGTTATTATTTAAAAATATTTCTTTCTTCAGCTAATTTTTTCAAATGGATATTCGTAAATCTCTAATGTTTGTTATTTGACCTCTTCTTAAACGATACAGCTATTTATAAAATCAAAATGTTACCTTAAATCATGATTTCTTTGATTAAGAGTATGTTTGGCTTGAGTGTGCACTTGCACAAAAAAGTACAAAAACATGCAAATTGGTATTCAAAGTTGTTCTGTAAAATATTCAAACACAGAAGCCCCGTGAATTGGACTTCAAAAGATCTCTGGATCAAAGGCTTAGCGTAGTCAACTTGTTTCCTAAAAAGTTCTCTTGGTGACATTTAACTTTTGCCTTGAAACACTACAAAAAGAACTTTATGCTACAACCGTTAAATTTGAAAGTAAAACAATGTATTAAAGTTTTTCAGTATTATGGATAATTTTGAAATTAGTTTTACTTTCTTTGTTTAATACAAATTTTTACTAAGCAAAAGGTGTCTGAATATGTTATTCTGATAATGAGGTTTCGCTTTCAAAGCTTAGTCAGTACAGATTACGATGATTTATTCTACATTAGATTTTAAGAATATGGTAATTCATTGTAGATAAATGGGTTTTCATCATAACCAGAATGTGTGTTGTATTAAGATATAAATAGAGGCCATTTTTTGAAAATAATTATTGTAATTCAATGTTGACTTGTTTTTCGTTTTGTGCCCATCCTATCTTTGTTGTTTTATAATCAGAATGTTAGGTTATTATAATATTTGTCTTAACCTATTTAGTCTATTATTACTTTGTTCTATTTAAATAGCTAATGTACAGTTAAAAATCAAAACAACAACAATAATGAAATTAACATAACAACGATAACTATAGGTTGTTAAAATGCTACTTGTATTTATTTGTATGCGTAACATAAAACAGTTTTTCGTATAGGTTTGTTAATAGTATCTACTCAAGATGATCATAGGTTTATATTCAGGGAGGCTTCCTTATATTCGATATTTATATGTAATATTGTACTTAGTTTATTTACATGTTCCGGAAAGGGTTCGGCCACTATCTTGCACTTTTTTTACCAAATCGCATTTTAAGAATTAAGGTAGTTCCAATAAAGGTTAAAAACAAAAAATATACAAGATATTTTTTATGTATATTTATATAGGTTTTACGAGTTTGCCCATCGTATTTTTAATTAATTATTTTCCTCATTACTTTTTATTTATTGAGATTAATTATTTTATTATGTACTGCAAATTTTCCGGCATTTAAACCATGATAACTTGTGAACACAAATAAAAACACGCATATTTTACTAAACCAAATTTTGTTAAAATAGGCCTACATTTTTATAGCAAACTTTTTTTGGTGCATAAACAATCCTTACTCATGGTTGCCAACGCCTGAAATTTATTTCGTACTATAAAAATCAGAAGAAAATGTGAAAATGTTTTCAGAATTACTTATGATTTGGTACATGTGTTCCAAAATACATCTAAAAAAATAGGTAAAAAATGTCAGGAATATATCAAAAGATAGTGGTGGATCACCTTAAAAACCTTGAAAAGAAACTGGTACTGTTTTTAGTTGTAAACAAACTTTTTGTGAACTTCTTTTAAGATCATACACAACAGTGGTTTAAATTTAAAAGCTGCTAAATCTCCTGTCAGCTGTATGAAATAACCCAAAGTGATAAGACCTGGGTTTTTAAGGCTTATGCTCTTAAGGCTCAACATGTTTCCTTATTACGTAAAGTGAACTCAAAGTGCTCTGAAAAACAAGTAAATTTGGCAGTGTTTGAAGGTTGTGTGAATATTTCATTCTCCATAATGAAAACACTGTTTGGGGTTTCTCCACATATAAAGCTATAATGCTTAAACAGTTTTCAGAGCTTTTAAGCTTTCGTAATGTTGAAACTTAAATATTGATAAAATTACGGTTTAACGTGCAATTTCAGCTTATTTTATGCATATTTTATTTTCATAAAGACAGCTTCTTACTAAAACACCACCGTAATAAATTATCCGTTTGTTTAAAATATATTCTTTAAGATGGTCTTAGATGTCCATGTCATAAAATATAATGAATGAATATAGTGAATTTTAGATTTTTATGAAACTAAGTGCAAATTAAAGGTAAAAGAAGCAAATTACCTGATGTTGCATTTGCATTTAAATCCTCAAACTAATGTTAACCCTTCTTTAAGGATGAACCAAAGATACCTTCTTCAGAACTAGTCAAGCACGCAGTTACCCAGTTGTTATGCTTTTGCTATTCGTTCTTAATAACATTTGACACACGTTTTATGTTACCAATATTGGAAAAAAAAAACTGTGAGTGATTATCTCAGAAAGATCAAAAACACCGTAGCTAGCCTATTAAAACAACAAAAACAAGTAATCTTTTATACACCTTGTTCCTCATAGCATTTTATTTTTGTGGGATGTAAAATAAGAGATTCGTAATTTCAGGATTTCAGCAATAATTATTTTATTATTTATGACCTTTGTCATAGTTAGTTTTTTTCAAAACTATTGTAATAGTGTTAATTTTTTTTTTAATATCTTCGTTTTAGATAAGCTATAAATTATTCAACATACGAGTAAACAAATTGATTAGATACTCAAGTTTCTTTACGCACGAGTATAAGAAATATATAAAGTAAAGTGTTAATAGACTCAATTCATGCTCTTCAATAAGCTTTCTCAGCCAATCTATTTCTTTAGAGCTAATATGAAAGACTTTTGCTTGGTTGTGGGGATGATAGGTTTCAACGTTATGTTCAGTTCAACCATTTCATATAATACAACTTCGTCAAAACATTTCATGCTTAAGACAAATTATAAAAAATGTGAAATTAAGGGTAATTTTCTTAAGATTTCCGTACAAGAAAAAAGTATAAGGATAGTTTAGTTTTCACCCAACCTAAATACAAAAACGAACATTTTTACTCATTGAACTGCCAGTTTAACATGACTACATTACAATCTATTACGTAATCGTTATTAAGTCAATCTGTTGAAACTATGTTTGTATCAGGTTTGTCCTTGTTAAAGCAAGATGGTAACTCAATTTTAGTGGAACGAAGCGTTGAGATGGTAAAAAATATATATCAATCCACATATTTATCTTAATTTTTATAATTTTTTGTAGATCTATATCGAAAACAGGGCATATATCTACTAGATTTTGGCACAAATTCCCCACTTTAGGTCGGCTAACAGTTATAGGCTATTGCTAATTAAGCTTTGAGGGAATGATGTTTGCTATGCATGGCAAACCTCCGTAATCTAATTACCAGACCAGCCCTGTCCTACTTAGTATTAATGCTTAATTTAATTTACAAATCTCATTGAGATCAGATCCTTAATAAATTATCCAGCCTTACCATCAATCTTGGTCTTTGTTGATGAATAATTCAAGCGATGAAGTGTTACAAGCGGCGCCACGGAATATCTTATCTGTCTCATGCAATCATCCTCATTTCTACAAATGTTATTTTTACTTTATTTAGTTCCAAAATTCGGGTATATATTTTTATGCATGTTGTCCAGATTAGTTAAATTTGGAAGGAATGTAATTTTTTTGTTTGTTAATGATCTTTTATTAACGATCGTCCAATCACGCCGCAGATAAAAACAATGTTTGTAGCATGGTTTTTTTATTTACAAATTCTTAAGATCCATGATAAGAAATACATTTTTAATATCCTCGCAGTTGCAAACCTACAGACTCGGCATATTCCCTTTTGCCCAATTGTACTTTAACTAAAATATATCCTTAAACTCTCAGGTTTATTTGTTATTCAAATGACCTTGGTTTTCATGTGCACATAAGTTTGTTGCTACCAGGTATGTAATGAAGTGTTTTCTAATGTTCATGTCGTGGCATGAAGCATAAATGTACCAAATTCTATAAAAATAATTCATTCGTAAATAATCCAAGTACAATGGTTTATTTATTCTCCATAAGAAAAGCATGGACATTTTGAATTTTTAATTAATAATTTTTGGTATCTCTGTTTCCATTAAGCATATAATAATATATATATTTAGGATTCTTAAGCTGTACAATGTGGTTTTAAAATAAATCACTTGACTTAATGTTTTAAGGAGAAATCGATGGGGAAATTAATTTAAACTGTCTACACAACGACAGGTTCCTATTGTTCAATTAGGCTGTTTCACCAATTCTTTAAATTAATTCAGATTGTACACGTCTTGTACAAAATTTCATCGAAATTGAATGGTTTTCACTCAAGTGGGTGACTCTGTTGGGCTCATGGACACATACATATGGTATATTATTTATTAATTTGGATGGTGTTTGTGGCTTCAGGGACTCAGGGATGTAATTGTATCCCGGGTCCACATCATCATGAGTCATACGGTAATAGGTTGTTCTTTTCAGGCGGTAATTCGATAAAACCTGCTGTAAATCCATTTAATCCTATACAAAAATATCGTTTGTACTTATTGCTCTTTGCTTGTTTACTTGCATTGCACTATTAGGGCGTTCTACAATAAATAACAATTTATATAGCCTTTACAAACATTAAAAGACTACGGCGTCAAAAATACTGTTTTCATTACAGTGAGCAAGTTATTCAAATCCGGTGGATCAGAAAGTGAAGACTCGCCGTACTTCGAGAAGTCTCTTTACACAGTTCAGGTGAAGGAAAATGAGGAACTGCGCCAACCTATTATTGCTGTCAAGGCAGAAAACCATGACGAAGGTAGGATAGAACGATGTGTTAGCAAATGTTGTAACAATACATTATTTTACGTTTCTATTACTTTGTGATTTCTGTACCACTGCTCACTTAGTGAAGTAACTTCAAAGAGGTCCTTTTGTTTTGAGGGTCTTTTGTGTAGTGTGTGACATTTTGGAATTGGACTTTCTATTGTGGTGTAGTTAGATTTTATGACTTCAACCATAGATAAAAGGAGCAGACACTCCTTACTCTCTACTCCTCTACTCCTTTTATCTATGCTTCAAATTTACTTTACACGTTAAAAGAAATGCTTAGGAACGACATATAGCTTTACGTATTCATTCAATAATCTACTGTTGAAATTGTGTAAACACTGTATATGTCTTACCTTTGATACTTTTATTTGACAAAATAACTTACACGTTCTTTACCACACCATGTAAATGGTATAGAAGGAAAGTCTAAAAACAATCAAAGATCTATTTCACTAAGAAAGAGTACGTTCTTAATTTATGTAAAATAGCTAGGTAGACGAAATAGGTTATGGTTAACCATTAAGGTTTGGGTGTTTCTCAAGTATAAAGCTGTACAACTAACATCGAGAATAGATTTACGTTCATATGATTTTCATCTTAGAAATCTTAGTAATGATTTATTTTTCACAAGCATCGTCTGTACGATACGAGATCGCAGGCGGTAACGTAGGAGGTGTGTTTGAGATCAACCAAGAGAATGGAGCCGTCTCCCTTGGAGCCCCTCTGGACTACGAGTCTAGGAAAAAGGTATGCAATTTGAAATAATTACGTTTTATTGTGGTAAAACATATATTATAGTTCGTTATTACCATTAAAATTGAGAACAGATACAGTGAATAAATATAGTCAAAATAGTAAACGTTAAAAACGATTTTGGAAATATCTAATCGCATAGCTTGGCAAGATATTCAGTTAGAGAATATCTCGGCCTAACTGAATATTCAATTGAACATATAACCAATATTCATGCCATAATGTGGGATCATGGAGAACACTGTTGTGATTTTCCGTTTAAATGATATATACGACAACTGAGATAAAAGATATACCCTTCTAGTTCTACATGGAAGGGTTGTTTGGTTAAAAATGAGTAAGGCAAAATTAGACTGGAACAAAATACAAGTACACAGTTTTCCCACAAACTTTTTAGATACAGTTTTGTTCACAGTTGACAACAATTGGTTAAACATAATATTTAAACAATACAATTTAAGCTTGTATAGTTTATGCCAAAAAGGATAATATAACATAATCCAGACGTAATAATACTACATTTAACAGAAGGCCATTGTACCCATAGATTGTAAATGTGAGCTTTCCTCCGTTGGGGTTTCATTTAGCCATTGTAATGATTCTCCTCTGTTATAAGTCACTTAGCTCCTGGAGAAACTGAAACTCTAGTCCGTTATTCAGTTCAGAAGCCCCGAGCAATAGGTTATTACGATGTAAATTTTGACCGTAAATGTCCATTGGCTTAATTATTCTATAAACATATTACAACTAAATGTGTATACATTTTCATGCTCTGTAGTAATCTTCATACAAAACACTGTTCTAATAACATGCTGGTTACGATTAATATGATTCAATTTGGTTGAGTTTGAAACTATTGAGTATTACATTTTGTAAAAGAATGAAAGGCCTATTGGAAATGGTGTATTGCATGTCTGCAATGTACAATATTACATTTCAATCAATTATTTTAGTTACATAAACAGCATTGGGTATTTCAAGCAATAATAATTATAAGTTAATTAGCAGCTTAGAAGGTATGAAACGAATGTCAGGTTATTCCAATTAAAGATGTATTCATCAACGTGTATTAATCCTGAATTTTCGCTCGAAATAAGCGAAAATGTCTTTTGATAGAGATACATTTTGGCTTTGAATACATTACCAAGCCTAATACTGTTTTTGTGAATATGTTGAATGATTTCGTGTTAAGTTGTTTTTGTTGTTGTTATTTAGGATTATAAATAAAAGTAGATGTAAGTTTTAGCTCATTAAAGGTCACATCATGCGTTGTTCATACGTTTTCTTTAAGAATTCAACTTATTTTGTTCGGTTCTAATAATCTAAATAAGTTTAAACAATAGTTAGTTATATGTACCTAGCCCATGGCCTTTCATATTGTTTCATTCATAGTTTTCCATGAACACTACGGTCTTATAAATATAGCCTATTTCATTTTTTTCATATGAGTAAAGCATAGAAAGTACCTTCATATGTTATTTTCAAGAATGGCAGTAATAACAAAAATATGTTCAATACAATTCCACAACAACCTAATTCGTGTTTGTAGATGTCTGTATTGTATTAGATTATTTTCTGTTTTCCATTTCATTAGATTTTCGTTAAGTTTTGTTTCAAAAGATGAAATTTCAAATTAACAGAGAAAAAAGTCACGAAATGGTTAAGCGTGAAAAAGAATTACAATGTTACAAATGAAACTGCAGGTGAATAATGGCCCATCCTTCAGGTGTCACCAAGTGCTATTCCTGTGCTCGGGTGACAAAAATACTTATCTAAATTCTTACGATTTTCTCAAATGTAACAATATTAACATACGTACGTATATCGCCATGATTTAAAAATAGTATATACTAAAATAGGTGTATAACATAAGTATATTCCTTATATACAAACTTCCTTATACATAATTAATGTCCATATACGGATACAAATTACTACTAAATCAGACTTAAAAATACATTAACGTAATTAGGACTACGTGATATGGTTGATATGGATTTAATTACTTTTATCAATGCGTCAAAACGTAATTTTCTTGTTACATAGCCTTTAAATTATAATACTTTGTGTTAAAATAATTGTTTAAAAAAGGCTAACATAAACATTTGATTTAGGCCTGTAATATAGAAAAATAAAGGTGAATGCGAAATAAAACTAAATAACTTGTAACTTAATATGCATTGTGTAAGCCTACTCCTACTACAATAATTAAAATTAACCTTTAAACAGTCTGCTCGTCAATATTTTTTTTACTTCCTGTAAAATGAAAACATTAAATAGTGGAACGACATAAAATGTCCATATATTTCATAAGTATTCCATGGCTATTTATTATTTACATATATTTACGAGTCGTTTGTACAGACAGTTTTTTAATTCAACTACAGATTCAACAACTAGACAAAACGTCAGGGCGTTTATGTCTACTTACGTTCCTAAACATACTAATATAAAGAAAAAAGTCAACACCATTGAAGGTGCTTTGCAAAAACATAAAATTAAGCTTAAAATTCATCAAAACTGATGAAAATACCGAATCATAAGTAAATAAGAAATACTTACACATGTCTTATAATATATTTGTAATAAAACACTGTATTTGTTGGAGGGTGACAGTGGCATAAGTTGATTTAGTAACCACTTATTTATGTCGTAGTTTGACAACGATAAATGTTCCAGTACGATCTTCGATTATCGGTGACTGATGGTGAGTCAGTGAGTTACACGACTCTACAAGTGACCGTGTTAGATGTAAACGACCATCCCCCAGTGTTTGAACACCCGTCGTACCGCGCCACTGTGCTGGAAGAAGAGAAAGAAGGGCTACCTGCGAAGATACTGCAGGCAAGTAGTATTTGTTAAATGTTTCTAAATTTATTTTAGCAATGAATACCAAAACGCATTTCCTTATCTAGTTGAAATATAGAACACCAGCAATATCGAAATTAAAATATGTTTTTGAAAAGCCTCCAAACAGATTATTAGAAATCTCTGTGATCTTAAATCAGTTGTTTCACTGAACATGTTTAGGTTAGGATCTGATTCAACAGAAAAAGAAATTGTACAACAGTCGCATTCAATTTATCGTCGTTCATAAATAGCCATAACTAGGAAAAATGCTATTTCTTATTGCATCTTTTTAAAAGTCGAAGGTTAAAATATCAATATATTCCTCAAAACGTTTTGCTAACTAACAATCCTGTTACAATCTTAGAATATCATGTTTCAGACAGGTTTTAAGTGAATTGTATTTGTAACTACCCTTATTAATTTACTGCCCTTATTTTAACCGCCTGCATTAATTTACAGGTAAACGTGACGGATGCCGATGTAGATAGACCAAAGGATGTTGTGTATTTCCTCACTGGTCCGGGTGTGGATGCTGACGAACCGTCCAGTGGAAAGTTCTCAATAAATAAAACCTCGGGAGAGGTATATGTGCTCAAGGTAAGCGTGAAATAAAACCTAAGCTTGCACGTGTGTCTGATGTTGGTCGAATATTTATACAAAAATAGCGAGATGGGATAGCGTTTTAACTATCCCTGAAGTATAAAACCAAATAAAATATTCTACAAAACAGTTAATTTGTATGGCATTTAACAATGCACGTGGGTATTAAATATTATCGTTTTCACTCGTTACTTTCTTACATCAGTGTGGACGATCATAGAATGTTTGTATTGAATTATTCAACATGTGTCATTTAACCACGTTATTATTGGTTTTTATCGGATGGTTGTATGTATTCGCTCTAAATATACTTTCATAGAATGAATTTAATAAATTTCAATCTCACTTCAAATTAAATTTCTTCTTTCGATTCAGTTGGTAAGGAATGTTGGTTTACCCATATGTATCATCATGTATCATCAATTTACTTACTACATCAATTTTATATCCTCTTACATGTACATGTACCATCTTATATTTCCTCGGATGTATTCAAAGTTGAAAGGCAAAAACGTAAACAGTGTATTTGAGTGTCATTAACACAATTTACGTACATAAACAATATTGTAGGTTACATAATTTTCTCTCAATTTGATCAATCACAGATCACACCAAGCACATCTTTAGGTCAAGGCTTAGGGGATATAGTGCTCGCATGCTATTTAGATGGTTGGTAGCTTAATCCTGAGAAAAATAAATAGCTTTGTTTTTTTTTTTTTTTACTGGACCTTGCTATCCTTAAAATTTTTGTTTCAATCAATGTTCCTGTCCATAAAACCAACAGTTCTTTGTCAGTATCTTGTGTATCATCCAACACTCATCCTTCAATCATACTCGCCTTGTAGCATCAAGATGTGTTGGTCAGACCCAATTATCAAAATACCTTAAACGATTCATATCTCTGATCCTCAGCCCCTGGACCGCGACTTGCCCCATGGTCGGCCGCAGTGGAGGTTTACAGTGTTTGCTCAGGACGAGGGGGGTGACGGCCTTGTGGGGTACGCCGACATCACCGTCAACCTTAAAGATGTCAACGACAATGCGCCTGTATTCCCTCAGCCTCTCAGCGTGGCCAACATAACTGAGAACGGCACAGCAGGTATGCTGACACTTACTTTTTAATAAATTGCAGAAATGTGTTTAGTAAACGTAGTTTACTTAGTTTTAAAATAAAAACGCATTTAAAAACTTTTAATTTCCATTTTTAAACTTACACTAGTTGACTACTTGATAAATTCACTTTCATTTCATTCATAAATTATCTTTTGTGAAACTATTGACAACAAAATTAAAGAGAAAAGAGTTCAAAACTTTTTTAATGTCAATTACTATGCTAGTGTCTACCCCCAGCTATACCGGGTGTCCCACGAAGGGGTTTAAACGTTTGATTTTATATTACGTGCCCATTCATGCACCGAACTTTTTGAAACTTTACACAGTTTAAAAAGTAGGTTCTAAAAATATTCTGGAAAAATGTCAACTCCCTAACCTTAGTAGAAACAAAATGGTGGCATATTGACAAACTTACCAATGTGCTTTATAATATAAACTACTTTCATGATTTATTATTAGTTATTTATTAATTATTATTATTTATTAGTTATTTGATTTATTTTTAGTTTTCCATTAGGCTATGTTCTAGTTTTTTTTTTATTTAAAAGTCACCCTGGAAAGTAACAATAAAAATATTTTATAAAACCAAAAATACCTTTTTTAATGTTTTTAAAGTAACTTTATTCAATATGCCGCCATTTTGTTTCTACTAAGGTTAGGGAGTTGAAATTTTTCCAGAATATTTTAAGAACCTACTTTGTAAACTGTGTAAAGTTTCAAAAAGTTCGGTGAGTGAATGGGCTCGTAATATAAAATCAAACGTTTAAACCCCTTCTTGGGACACCCTATATATTTAGTGAAGGACACACTCCTAAAAATGGAAAGTTTTAAGAACCTTCAAAATTTTTTTATTTTTAAGTCTTGGTTCTCTTATTGAAGTTTAAGATGCAACCACTGACCTACAACTTAAAGAAAACTATTTATGTTCCTTCGCCATTCATATCATTCTTATGCCAAGCAACCTACACAAACACTTCGAGCACACGAGCAATTAAACAGTTTAAGCAGTTATACCAAACCAAACACATATATCTGACTAGGCATGCCTTAATTTAGGTTGGTATTTAACTAATACGATTTCTAACGAAGATAGATTACACAGTGTTGTTTTTCCGCAGGTATCATAGTCCTAGCCATGTCTGCAATTGACTACGATGACCCGGCGGAGGGTGGAAATGCTCAAATAGTTTACAACATTGAGAAGAACGTGTTAGACGAAGAGACAGGAACGCCGATTTTCACCATTGAGCCAAGATCGGGACTCATTACGACAAAGATATGTTGCCTTGACCGAGAAAAAACTCCGGACTATACACTACAGGTTGTAGCAATGGACGGAGGAGGACTAAAGGGTAAATAAAAATACAATAGTTTATAAGGACTCGTACCTTAGACATTGTATTTAGACATTGTCTAAACACACACATTGTTGTGTTAGACATTGTCTAAGGTATTTTGCAGGGTTGTTATTTCCTAACTATTATTTTCGGTATCTATGAAGATAAGGTTGAAATGTCTGTGGCTTCAACATGGTTGTACATAGTTAGATTTGTCATTGTATTGAATGTTACTTATTTAAATTATTAGGCCAATTAATATTTATCCCTTTGTTGAGTAAATAATAGAACAATTTATAATTTCCTGGAATAAAAAACATTTACTACTTGTTCACTTTAGGAAAACGTTTTTAAAGTAAGGCATTATTTAACATTTCGCTGCGAAAAAATTTAATTTAGATTTTTCAATTTGTTGCCCTAATAAAATAATCTTTTATTGAACTATTTGCTAAATAAATTGAATAGAAGTTAATGAAGCTATAGCTGAATTATTTGCTTATAGTATTTTCAAGGGATAAGTCTGTATGTATATTTTGAAAGTATAATTTTCAATGGCTGTTTGGTTTATCATTAAAACTGATCTACTCTATCATCATTTCAGGTACAGGAACGGTATCAATATTAGTGACAGATATAAACGACATGCCGCCATCTTTTACCAAGGACGAGTGGACTACTGAGGTCCTCGAGTCACTGGAAGGGGAAATACCTGACTACACTGTTTTAACTGTAAACGTTGTAGACCAGGACGAGAATAACGACTTTTACTATCACGTAAGTGTAATAAACTAGTATTTCTACATTTAAATATCTAGGAAATTAATGAAGTGGTTTTTCTTTCTAAGAAAAACTTTGGCTGTACTAAAATGTTCCATTAAATGAGGGTACCTTTTACTACTGAGTCATCTGGCTAAACAGGATAATGTAAACGCCTACAAATTACCAAATCACGACTGATCAATCATATTAAATATTTAAACTGCTGATATCCTATTTTACAGGTAGTGGAAGGCAGTGGACCTGGTACAGACAGGTTTACCATGGTTCGTAATGCAGATGGCACTGGTTCTCTTAAGGTGGTAAAACCTTTAGACTTCGAGGATCCTTTACAGTCGCAGGGCTTCCGGTTCAAAATACAGGTGAATGACCAGGTGAATTGCCAAACTGATTAAACACCTTTATGTTATCTTTTATTTTATTCTAGTATTACTGTCTATTCCCTAAGATAAAGATATGATTAAACATTTGTTAACAAATGGATATAAGACCCACAACATTTTAAAATTCATATGTCAGTCACGAGTTAATACTAGTTAATACTTAATAGACTATTATATTATTAGGAGTATTAAGACAGCTTCAAGGCAGTAGTAAAGTAATCTTTCAACTCATCACTTCATAGCACTATACCAAATTATTTATTACCAAATCTAAATTCTCAAATTTAAATAATATATTGAAACAACTATAACAAAAGTGGTATTAGTTTCAATAACGACAGATATTTTGGTCTAAAACAGTTTAATGAAGATATATAAGTTTACATGTTAAACGTATTCGTACATTATCTATCAAGTAGTACCAACGCCGAATCCATCGTCGATCTGTAAAACTTTAAAAATACAATCCTATTTGCTAAACAGTACATAAATTGAAGCAAACCTCGACAGGCAGATATTTTTATCTGGTAAAAACAAACTATTTGTAGTTTGTTAGGGTTTTCTTTTTGAAAAACACCAATAGTCTACAAACGATATTATAGTATTGGTCTATGACACTGAAAATAGTGTAAATTTTCAAATAAGAACAAAATTAAATCCACCTTTTTCAGCTTACAATGTTTTAAATAAAAAAAATATTTTATCAATTAATTCTAAATAAATATACAGCATACAATTTCAATATACAAAACATGAAATATCCGATGATTTCAGGGACCGAACAGAACCCAAGGGAGTTACCATTCAGCGCACTCATGGGTCGTGGTCAGACTGATAGACATAAACGACAACCCACCTAAGTTTGACAAGTCCAGTTCTGAGGTGTCACTCCAGGAGGGTGTGGCATTGGGTACCCTAGTGGACATCTTCCCGGCGAGGGACCCTGACCAGCGGGGACAGGCGAGGGTAGTGTACGGCATCGGCCATCGCAGTGATCCCAGGAGGCACTTCCACATCAGCCAGGAGGGGAGGGTCACCGTCCAACGTCCTTTGGATAGGGAGACGACGCCGATCCATAAGGTAAGGGGATACCATCTAAAATAAGTCATGGATAATTATTCTGTCTGTATAATTGATTAGAGTAAAATAAGATTGTTGGCGTGAAACTATATAATTAATTCATAATTATTAATCACGTATCGAGTTGAATGAGATGGGTTTATGGTAATAGATTTGTTGAATTCATGTTCTGTTGTAGCGTCATTTATACGCAAAATATTTATACTTATTTTAAAGTGTCACGCTGTACAAATTTAATACACGTGGCTAAGTCTTTGAACAGTATTTTATCACAATCGTTGTATTTTGTGACATCATATAGTAGAGCCAAACAAGAATATGAATAAATAGTTGACGAATTATCAGTGAAAAAATCCAAATTAACATGAAACTGGTTGTTTTATGTTTTCAATGTTCAGTTAAACATACAACGTGTAATTAAATTAACTGGCTATAGTCGTATTCAAATTTGTGTAAGAGAGTATTTAATTTATAAATCATAGCAAAGTTTTAGTTTCTTTTAACTTTTTTAGTTTTATTTATTCAAAAGCAATATTATTTTTAGTAGTAAATAAAAAATTTTGAAAGCCATCTATATTTTAATAATTAAACTAAGTGCATTAATAATTTAAATCATTCGTTAGGCATTGTTTGAAAACATGTGATTTAAATCTTGAATTAACTAATAAAATTATAAAATAATTATTTTACATACAAAAAGTATAGGATATATAGAAAATCAAAACACAGAAATTTGTAAAAATATATTAAGACGTATCAAAAGAAAAAACTAATGAAATAAAATAAATTCACAGAACATTTTTAGCTTAATGAGATTAATAGTAAAACTGTATATTATTTGTTTTTGTTATGAGCTAAAATATTACTCACAGGAAGACATGAGCTTTTAAAACTCTAGCCAGACCCATTAGGAGTTTGCTTTAACCATTTGCTGGTGTCAATCTTGTCCATTATAATAATTAAAATCTGCTTAACAGAGGTTTTAACTTTGAAATTAGTAAATTTCTAGGGAATTAACATTTTAGAGAATACTTTACAATAACCGGATTTGAGTTGAAACCTTCAAAGCCGTTTCATCTAATAAAATATGTTTGATCTACATCACGGTTGTTTTTAGACCTCTGACTAGTTTTTCTTTGTCTACCTACACATGTCTGAAATATTATGCATTATATCTGAAATAGTAATTCACCTGTACCTATGACACATTTAGCTATTTGGCCTGACTACTAAATAAGAAAAATTGTTGCATCGAGGTAAAATTTCCACCAAAACATGAAAAATATTTTAACCAGCAGCATTTTATTTAAATTAACAGTATTGTACATAGGTGTTGAAAAAAGTAAAATATACTTACAGATTTGGTAATTTAGGAATAAATAAATAATAATATCGTTATCAATATGAATAGTCCACCACTGCCATGCCCCTAGTTGCTAATAACTGCGAAAGACGATGGGGATCCTGCACTAACGGCAACAGCTACTCTCACTGTCAGAGTCTTGGACGTCAACGATAACGCCCCACAGATGTTGAAGGACTACGCCCCCGTGGTGTTGGAGAACTCTTCTCCAGGGGTCTTCCTAGAGGTCTTTGCCCGCGACGTAGATGACTCCGCCAAGGGCAACGGACCTCCTTACACTTTTCATCTGGACCCAGCGGCCAACTCAACCTTGGGAAGCTTGTTTTCTGTTGAACCTAATCCAAGTGAGTAGTCTCGGTGTAATCAATAAATGTTATACCCTTCTTAAAACTTAATATATTCATTAAACACTTTTGATTCATATTAAAAATATTATTTATAATTCAGCTAAAGAATTTAATTTCATTTCTTATATTTTTTTATTTTACAGATATCGTAACATAAACAAGTAACTGATCTTTCGACAGAAATTGTATTAAAATAAGTCACTTGTAAAAAGACGTTGTATTATGTGGATATGTATTTTCTGTTATCAATATTTTATTGTTCAAAATAACTCTTTTAATGTGTTAGTTTTAAAATGTTTAATGTCCTAGACTTCTTAAAAAATCACACATAATAAGTGAATATAGTTTTGGTTTTGATTTTTGTTTTGTTTTACCATATCCAACTGCTCAATGAATATGTACTAACAGGATGATGTTATTCAATTGAATTAAATAATCATATGACTAAAGTATTCTATCGATACCATTACAACGTTGTTAGATAGCATTGTTATAAGTAGCAAGTAAATTGTTATTCCCACATAATCACATCCACTATGTCCACAGTGGGGGATGAAGGGCGAGGCACAGCCATCATATCTACTCTCAAAACCTTGGACCGAGAACAACAGAAACTCTACCTTCTACCCTTAGTCATTCAAGACTCTGGAGATCCAGTGATGAGTGCCACCTCCACTCTAACAGTCGTGGTCGGCGACCTCAACGACAACCCTATGTCTCCAGGAAACACTCACATACACGTCTACAGGCTACAGGTGAGCCTATCTATCTCACAAGATGACAGAAACACTGATAATCAACAAACGGAACCTAGAGATTTGCCACAAAATTCTAGAAATCAAGAACTTTCCTTCCAATAAAACGGAATATTATTTTTAAATATAAGGGAAAATGAACAAACAAACAGGTTTAAAACTCGTTTGCGCATAATTTAATTGCGTGTGCAAAAGATAAATATTGTTTTCATAAAAACAGATGCTAAGTTTGTTTATTTGGAGCATTCATATTTACAAATATGTGATAAGTGTTTGATTTGCAAAATTAATTATTTAGTTTCATGAGAGAAACTTGCTTCGAGCAGCATTGCAGCAAAATAATTAGATAATTGGATTTGCCAAACAAACAAAATCATCGGTAAAGTTCGTGTCCCAATGCAATGATTAAATATCATATTTATACAGTTTCAAGTTGTTTTAATAACTCAAACATTTCAACATGGACTAGTAAAGGCAAGATAAATTATGTTTTAAAGTGTAATGGCAAATACCCCACTGCAGCAAACCTGCGGACCAAGCAAGCTTCCATCTGTATAACATAGTATTATATTTACGTGAGTTGCGTAAACTACTTTACAATCACTTCTCTTAATTCTAAGCGAGGTTATGGTTTCGTTTATAACCTCAGTGCCACCGGTAATTCATCGAAACATTGTACCAAACACTAATTGCACCACTCAACCTTAACAAATAAATTGGTCTAAATAGCTGATCTCTGTCAATCCTAGAACCTCATTGGTCCGTTAAAAAAGTAAATCATTGATTTTTAAAAATGATTGTAAAAAAGTCATATTTCAGGACAAAAGTAAAAAAAAAATTTATAGCAAAATGTGCATAGTTTTGTGTAACAAATTTTTCTGTATCATTCCAGGGAAGTGAAAAGGACATGGAAATTGGTCGAGTGTATACAGAGGACCCGGACGACTGGGACCTTCCGGACAAAACGTTCTCCTGGATGTCCAAGGCCCCGGGATTCCGTCTGGACCAGGACACAGGGGGACTCCGGATGTCTAGGGACACTCGGCCAGGGGTACACCATATGTCTGCTAGAGTCAGGGACGCCAGACACCCTCTGAGACCAACTGTGGTCTGTAACGTCACCGTCTCCGTGGAAGACATCTCTAAGGAAGACGTTGCTAACTCAGGGGTAGTCACTCTGGCTGGAGTCAGCGAGGTTAACTTTATCAAGGTATGCTATTACCTGTTTGGCTTATTTTAGTTTTTTTTTTTTTTTTTTTTTGTACATATCCAAGAAGATTTTTACGTTTTTATAGGGGGACGGTCCAAAATTATAACTTTACTACCTAATGTCAAACTGTTGTTAGAGAAATGCACTACTTTAGGTAAATTACAGTGTGTCTTATTATTACTAATTTTAATCTAAGTCATTTGTATTTTAAAAGTTGTTTGATAAGGAACGGTCCCGTTCCTAGACGTCACTGCCTAATCTTGACCTTTTGCTATTTATAGATATCCCACTGACTAATCTGTTTAAGAGACTCGTTTGGAATTTAACCATTGGACCTTCGTATTTGAATGCAAACACTATTACCGTTTGACAACACATTGAAATAATAGGAAAAAAACACTTAGTTTTCAATGGTTTAAAACACTTCACCAACTCATTAATCCGTATACTTACTTTTTCCACAAAACATATACTTAAAATTAAAAATGATTTAAAACCTAAGCAATAACATATATTTATCTAAGCCCCTTTTACTCCGGTAGTGCCGCTCATCAGTAAGAGGTACTAATTGAATGACACAAAAATTCCTAAATTGAATTATAACAGTCCATTTCTGTAATTAAGATTATACTAATGTTTAATCTAGAAAATAATTTAAAAAATTGCTAGCGGTAAGGGGAAATATGTTTAAATTATTCATATAAAGCGGAAAAAATATTTTTTATTTGTATACTTTTCATTTGATATATAACACGTATCTTAGGTTATTTAAAAATAAAAGTAAAACTAATAAGGGAAAAGGGTTCTACATCTATGTTTGAATTGCTGACTTTTTAGCGAATTTCCTATAAGAAAATATATATTACTGATGAGGGCACGGAGAGACCTAGACCTGGGATCGATTTACACTTTTAACAAATATTGATGTCCCCAGAGGCGTGAAACCCAATTCGTTCAAATTTATTATAATGTTTGTTCACGGAGTATGCGCGTCTATGAACACGATAACTCGAGTAGTTTTGGTCTGATTTTGATGAAATTTGGCATAAATGTGTAGAGCTAGAGAAACTTGAATGCGTTCGCGAACCAGCAAGACCGCATTATGGAGGTTTTTTTAGTTTTCTTTTCAAATATTTTTTTAGACCTTTCACCCTTACATGAAAATGCTCAATTTTGATTGCAGTCATCGTCAAGAGTTTAAAAGCAAACGATTCTGACCATTTAAGAGATGTTTCACGATAAAAGGTTACGGAGAATATTACAAATAAAGTGTACTTTAAAATTACCATTTTATTTTTATGGGGAAAAGCATGGTATTCGAGAAATCACCGTTATAGAGTTTATTCAAATACATATACCCATGTATTTATAGTACTAATAAAAAACAAACAAAGATATTTTAATTCCATTGGTTTGAAATGGGATATAACTAAACAATATACAAGTCCGTGCTATATTAAAAGCTATATTTTTAGTCAAAAGTCATATTAAACTCGAGCAAAAGGAAGCCAAACCTCCTCGTATTGAGTGTAAATACAACCCTTTGACACCAAACTACACTTACGATGTAGTATTATATCCTCTCTAGGCAATCCGATTCCTACGCGGATACATAAGCTTACGATTCCTTCTCACGCACGTTATATACCTGTGTAATGTAATAGCGGTTTCGAAAGTACAATGTAGATTTAGACCGTTAATAAATTTTATATTTTACCGTAAAACGCATTGTTTTGTTCCTAGTGCACAAGAAGCGTTAAAAGATTAAGGAACTGTTTAAAATACTATATAAAATATATTGAGTTTTGTCACACCTGAAACAGTATCAAAACTCACCACAAAGGCATAAAAATAGATGTGTTTTAAATTGAAATGTATACAATATTTAGCAGAATGTACACGTATAACATTTTAGCATCGTGTACAATTTAAGAATTTAAACAAAATACTGTATTTAAAAATAGTTTTATTCTAGCTCGTTCAATCTTGCTATTCATTGTCTTCATGGATAGGTTTCCTCGGCCCCATACTTTTGTTATGTCCCACACTCAAATCCTAAGACGCATGCTCTAGCCTAGAACCATTTTACACATTACTTTAGGCCAGGCCTAGAAGGTTGTGGCATTAGAATTTTGATTAAATAAATTTGTGATTGATGGTATTTGAACTTGGGACCTTGGAGACCAAGTTATTGCATTCTACTAGACTCTCACCATATGCTGGTATTTGTGTGGGGACAGTTTCACAATCGAGGAAAACTTATAAATTATTTTCACCAACATTTTGGCCTCGATGTAGAGTGTCATCTTAAGCGTATCTCAAAATCCACATTAACATAAACTTTAGTAATTCAAGTGACTCTAAAGATGCCACAGAGTGTGTGAAGGTAATTTTTTTTATCACTTACTTAAGATTAAATAATTAAATGTTTAAAAGTTCGTAATAATAACTTTATTTAACTATAGGAACATTTATTTCAGACTACTAACACGAGTCAACCAAGCCCAATTGAGGCATTTCGCGCCACAACTGCTAGTATACTGCAGACTCGTACTTCTAGTGTCACAGTCTTCAGCATCCAAAGCAGGGATCGTTTCCCTCCTCAAACTGATGTCAGATTCTTCGTCAAAGAAAACTCAACATACTTCAAACCTGTCAGATTGCATGGACTACTGCTGATGCATAGATATATTGTAAGTATTATAAAAAAAATTGTATTGATATACAAATTCGTTTATTTTAACCAAATTGTTATGACATTAGTTTTTAAAAATAATTTCCGTCATATGGGCTCCCTTGTATTCCTGTAGAAAGCCCAATCTAGTATTACAATTTTCAAACACACTTTCCAGCAGTGATGGCGTATTCTGTCGATAACTCGATGAGTGTTGATATCCAAACCACTAGAGTCACAACTGATTCACCAAAGCTCGAATACCTGACTCTGATAACCGATTATGTGGTCCGTAGATCTGACGATAAGTTGATAAGTTGTGTTGTGATAAGTGTATGATAAGTTGTCCGAACTGAACTACGCTTTTCAAAATAAATTTGCATAATTAGCACAGTCACGTTCCTCTTTTGTAAGTCAATTCATGGTTAGCCTACAATGGAAACAGAATAAGCACTAGACAATACAAATCTTTAAATGACAAAAGATAATAAACAAAAATCAGCTGTTTGATTTTATTTTGATTTTTGTTTTAGCAATGCTACAACTTAAAAACCACACAACCAAAAAATCACCCTTTATGTTAATTTAGGTACAAGAAATTAATATTACGTAACAGGCTAGTAAAGAGGTTTCAAATCAGTATATTATGTGGTATTAGTTTTCAGGAAAATAAATTGGAATACTTATAATAACACTAGAAACATATTTTTGAACTCATACTGTTTTAACAAGCCGGCATTTCACATGACATTCACTTATTGGGTCTGATGATGATTGGAGTGTCTAATCGAAATGAGTCACTACTTCCATATTATGTTATATATATTTACCGTACTTTCAAAATAGTATAAGTAAAAATGTATGATTCAAATACACGTGTTTTTATTTACTTTTCATAATAATATAGTGATTAAATTGTAATATGGGCCCATTTTTAGAGGTACTTGTATGTTATCGTAGTTTACGCAACGATTGCGTCAAGATAGTATTAACGACACGAGTAGAAAATGTAAGCCTTAAAAACCTCCACGAGGGACGTTAACACTTTTTACGTGAGTTGCGTAAACTACTTTCCCTACGACAATGTTTTAACATAGATTAAACATACTCCCTTAGGTTTTAATTACAAAAAATCACCATTTATAACTTCTAAGGGAGGTTATGTTTTCGTTTATAACCTTTAATTGCCACTGAAAGTAATGCAACGAAACATTGTACCAAGCACTAATTTCACCACTCAAAAATTAAATTGGCGTGAACAGCTGATTAGTTGAAGTTCAACTCATTATAATTTTACTTCTTCTGTGTCAACCCCTGAACCTCAAATGGTCCGTTACCGGTGTAATTACGAGTAAAACTATGCTGTTATGAAAGTAAACAATGCTGTTATGAGAATCTTTTCAATTCTAAAAAATTGAACTGAAACGGCTACTTTATAAAACTGTCGTAGGTAAATTATGTAATAATTCATTAATGACTACCTAATGAGTTTTATCATAGCCTTCTTTTAGCCACTTTTCTTTCGTTTGGAATTTCATTGTTTTATCATTCACCTTATTTCAACACAGTCAATTTATGACAGAAAAACAACTCACCTTAATAACAAGTGAAGAGTAATCTTTATGATGAAATACATGTTAATTGAAACTGCGCAAAATTTACGATACCACAACCAACTTTCACGTCCTGGAATTCCTGATCAAAGTATTGACCACTCATATAGTTTGAAACTCTTAACTTAGATTATGCAACAGGAAATCGTAACTGCCCTTGAAGCCATGCATGTATGCTAAGTGATTACAAGTGATCACTTGTGTTCGGGCAAGTCAAATAACGAGTTAATCTCTTTCTACTCAATCTGGTAGTTTTCCCTGTGCTTCCTACGAAAGTTCTGTTAACGGTTAATAAATTGGTCTAGTTGCCCTTAGAACTGTTAACCATAATCTGGCATAAGTAACTATAAGATTTGAATGGGATTATATTAATTACTCTCCAAACATTTTTTCAACTAACAGGACTAGTAACATTTTTTACCCATTCAAACTACCGATGTCTTAACAGTTTGTAATAAACCCTAATTAATTGCTCCTAATTGCCTGCTAGCTTTGTCATAAAGCGCTTGCACTAATCGTCTAGAATAGATTTTTTTGTGATAAATTTGGTATTTTTGGACTCGAGTTGAATTAATTGTCAAATAATTCACACATAGGATCCCAAACAGAGTAGATTTTTTAACAACAACAATTAAATGTTTTTGGTCATATTGCAGCAAAAACAGCAGTTTTAAATGCATGTGTTGTGGGTCTAAAGTTGCATTTTTATCTCTGGGAAGCAAAAAGCGTTTTCAGCTCCTAGGGAGTAAACATTTGGTGTCAACTCAGCTTTAAATTTCGATTGTAAACTATGTATAGGTATGTATTGAAAGTATGTGTCGATTGTTTAATCGATTGTAGTTAACTGTTGACATAGTTTGTTCCTAATAATGGTGCAATTTGACTAAAAATATAGCTCATCTAAAAAAAAGTGCAAAAAAAAAGTGTGGGGGCAAAAGTGTCTTTTTAACCCTCACTTATTTTCTGACCTCGACTTCGCTTCGATCACTTGAGTTTGGGTCGAAAAGAGTCACTATAAGCCCTAGTGATGAAAAATACGATTTAAAAATAAAAATGTCGTTAGTCTTTTCTCCTTTTGACTGCAATGGTTTTTTTCGTAAAATCCCAACCATGATAGAAAGTCCTGAAATAATGTCTTAAACGTAGAATTACCGTTACCTAATGAACTTGAATGTGTTCTGTTCCAGTTAGAAAGTGCCCTTGGCTGTAGAGTGTCCTCTGTAGGAGATTTCCCCTGTACCTCAGAGTCACTGTGTGATGACGCCACAGGCTGCTCGTCCTCTGTCTCAGTGACGTCACTACCTCATGTGGTTGACGCTAACTCCACCATGGTCACTGGTCCTCGTCTAGACGTTACTGTGAGGTGTTCATGTGCTGCAAGGGATTACATCACACGATACAGCTGTAGTAACACACCTTGCCTCAACGGTGGTGTATGTGTGGACACGAGGCATGGCCCTAGGTAAGACAGATTTGAGCTTTTCATGGGTGTATATTATTTTCCTTAAAATCTAACGAAAATCTTAAACAGTTTTAGTTTGTGTAGCGAAATATTTGCTCTAAAACAGAAGTTACGAATTGCCGTAGAAGAAAAATTGTTTAAAAGCAAATACTGGTTAAAATGTTGAACCGTTTTTGTTTTGACATGTTCTCTATTTCAGAAGAAATGATAATTTAAGATAATCTTTCTTTAGAGGAAAAGGCAAACAAATATAAATTAATAATACATTTAAAATTTTTTGGTGTATTTACCATATTTTACGTTTAACAGTACAGGTTAAGATATATGGATAAAGTATTAAACGTATTTTTATTTACATTCTGTAAAACTTTATAACACTTACAATGCTAAACAAGAAGTTACAATATTGTGTTCAAAGAGTGGTTCCTAGGAGTATCAAATCAACGCCGCACTAATGAAGACAATAAAAATCAAACTACACGACGTCTACGAATAAAATGTGCTAAATATCTGTTTAGCTTGCATATTTGATTTATAAAACAACCCATACTCTACAATCTAAAAAATACCACATTAATTGTTCAATGCTGATGAGTAATCTGTTTAAATAATTGTGTTGGGCAGCTCTTAACCCAAAGAGATTATTAGCAATGCAGTCTAGCTTATATTCATAAGCATTTATGGATTGGGCGAGTATCCATTAGTATGTATGGTTACTGATAATTACCAAGGATTTTAATGGTTATTTTGCCATTATGTTTTGCACTACAAATGTGTATAAAAACGATTGTATAGACTTAGTGGTCTGCGAAGTGGCAAACTGTATCGGTCAACAGCTTACTCAATGATTCGATAAATTAGAATCATTACTCAAAAATACCCCCGCCGCAGCAAACCTGCCGTCTAAGCGAATTTCCATTTATCTGAATTGAGATTCAATTAGATAGATTCAAATAACATTAACCGAGTACCTAGGTTTGCTGCTACAAGGAAACTAAGAAAGTGTGGTTTTTAGTAAAATATTAGTAGCTTAGAACAAAATAAATGTTAAGATTAATCAAAGTTTGATACCAAGTTTGATCAAAATTTATCCATAAACAACCGAACTACACATTCTCCTTAAGAATAACATGGGAATTTAAAATTTACAATTTTTTAATTTTCCCCGTTACCAATAGCCAAAAACACAAAAAGACTTTGATATACTAAATAATTTTTTTGCAAGTGCTTTAAATAGGTCTAGAGAGAAATTGGGAAATTTTGTTTTTTATGGTCAAATATGAGAAAAGCCAATTTTAACCCCATAAAACCACCCGTAAACCCCAGTTTCTATCGTCCAATCATGCTGGTTTGCGAACTCATTCAAGTTTATCCCGCATTACACCTTTTAACCAAACTTCATCAAAAAACGGATATAAATTACTCAAGTTATCGTCACTTATTGTAATACACATATATACATATACATACAGGGTGGCTGAAAGGTTACCTATGCCCCCCCCCTTGACTTTTCAACCATTTGAGATATTTGAAAACTGTTTGTGACATCCTTCCTAGGTATGAGGGGCTACAATAATCGTGGTAAATTTTTAAAATTTTGCCCTTAGGGTGTATGTATTTTACACCCTGAATTACACCCTGAATTTTACACCCCGCCATTTTCTCCCAGTGGTGGTCGGTTATAGCTCTACATTTTCAAATGACAAGTATAGTCTGGTTTGAAATCATTTTACAGGTCTTGATGAAACAAAAAAAATACATAAAGAAAATCAAAATCGACCCACTAATAACTAAATGGCGCCCTTAAACGTTTCAAATCCAAATAACCATAAGGATGGCTGAAAATTAAGTTGCTCTTCCTATAATTTTTAACTATTTGAGATATTTGAAATCGGTTTGCGGCAACTTGTGATAAAAATGATTAAAGCAATGGTTATTAAAAGTAATTTTGAACTGCCATTTTGTTATTAATTGTCCGAATTCTATTTTCTTTATGTTAATTGTTATGTTTCGTCAAGACCGATTTCAAATATCTCAAATAGTAAAAAAGTTAAAGGGGGTGCAAGTTACTTTTTAGCCACCTTGTATACATTTGAACGAACGATGGTTTTGGCCTCTGGGGACATCGAAATGAAAAAGTAAATCAGGCCTGGGACTAGGTCTTACCGTGCCACCTACGGTAATAGCTACAGGGAATTAGGTATAGGGAAATTTGCTAATAAAATGCAGCTTTGTGATATAAAATACAAAGTAAAATGCTTTTGTGTTTTATGTCATTTATTTATTTACAAAGCTAAAGCCAAACAGAACCATCTCATCAGAGATGTTTTATGATTTTGTCTTATGATTTGCTTACGTTCCTAACAAGGTCTTATTTAATCACCCCCCTAACTAATGGGAATTTACAAGTGAACCTGTACACTGAAACAGCTACCGAGCGCAATTTAAGACAACGCAAGGACAAAGATAACCTTCCCACCTCCTTGTCCTTGTCTTAGACAGTGATTGAAGACAATATTCTTATCACAAAAAGTTAGAAGCAATTCTTTGTGGTACTGAAGAAGATTGAAAACCCCCTTAAGTATTTTTTCCCATTGGTATATGATGATTTCAGATGTACCTGCCCAGAGTACCACGACGGTCCACGCTGCCAGCAGTACATCAAGGGGTTCCATGATGGCTGGGCGTGGTATCCAGGTCTGCAGGTTTGTGGAAACTCACACTTGAGTCTGGAACTTCTGACTGACAAGAGCGAGGGACTGCTGCTGTATAATGGTCCTCTTGGTCCAACTAATGGCCAAAGTCTTGTGACAGGTAATAACTTATAGAACCGTTCGTTTCGTTTGTGCAAACAATAGTGGCTAAACTAAATTTGGCATTGGAGTTTTAGAGTTCAACCTTGATAACGTTTAACTTTACAGATTTCATCTCGCTGGAGATTGTTGAAGGGTGTCCTCGACTGTTACTCGACCTTGGTTCAGGGACTGTTAATCTGACACTTCCTACTAGGCTCGATGATGGAGAGTGGCATCGCCTTGATGTATTCTGGGATACTGAGGTAAGCACTTACATTATATTTTAGTTTCTAACTTTATTTAACTATATGCTTTTGCACATAAATAAATGATTGTTTGGTTATCAACGTGTAAGAATTCTGTCAATAGGACCAGATGTAAATATCAGAAATCAGCAATGGCTCTTGGCTGTGCTATAATAACGTGAATTGGTGGTGCGGATATGTTCTAAAGCTGTCGAGTTGTCTACAAAAAATAAAGGTCTCCAAGACCAGAACAACTGCGAATATGACACGTCCCTACAGCAAACAGATTTAAATTATTTTTAAAAGGAGAAAACTTGTATTACCTCAATATTAATAAGGAATTGGGTTTTACCGTACCAATAAGATATGTTCTGCATGTATTTATATTTATCGTGATTCCCATTTATCCAAATAAATCCATGGTTTTGGTTGGAATGACAAAAATTGAAATGCAACTTTTTTTTAAATACATAAAATGAAAACACTTCTTAAGTGTGTATGGCACCTGCTTCTTTACCATCCCACTGCCTGTGGCTGGCTCAGGACCTTGGCTTGGCCACGGGTAAACAGAGGATCAGGAGACATGTTCCATCATACAGAGTATAGTAAATTTAACCTCTCAGTTCAATTTAGAGAAGTGGGCTAGCCATGCGTTTGAGCAGAAAACCTCGGTCCCCGAAGTCTCGGGTTTGAATTTCACAAGTAACTAATAGTTTTAGCACTTAACATGACCACGATCCTCTAGGCTGAACCTGAAGTAATATGTAAAACAACGTAGGGATATCATCATGTGTTCTAAGACGTGGAAAAGATATAAAAAAATATAATACTTGCTGATACTTTTTTACTCTCTTAATTAACTCGTATGTTCGTTGATGGTATAAGTGCTATTTCCGTAGCAGGTGCTGTTATATTATAGCATTCTTGACGCATATCGTATGATTATTTGCTCTTCAGGAGGTCCGGTTGCTGGCCGACCACTGTAAAGGACGCAACGCTACTTCCCCAGGTGACCGAAGTACGACCCCTTTGGACCGTGAGTGGTCTGACTGTCTTACATCCACGTATCTACCTCCGTTCAGCTCCCAGCTCAACGTTAACTCTCCCCTGCAGCTAGGAGGTTGGTATGTACAACCCTTCCAGCCTAGAGAGTACAACTGGACCCAGGGACCCGATGGAGTCAGCTTCCATGGCTGCCTTCGCAATGTTATGTTCAATGAAGAGGTTAGTAATGTTATTTGAATAAATATATCTAGAAAATAAATTTTTTTGTAAACATATTAAAAACATTTCTACCTATCTAGTTTCCAGATAGTAGTCCAGCCTTTAAGCGATCCACTTACTGCACATTAAGGGCAAAACTTAATGTTAAATGTTACTGATAAATACAAAATCAACATTAAACCCACTGTTTGTCGCAAAATTAATGAGCTAACGTTATATATATTTTTTTGTTATTAGTCACATTAGTCTACAGTTATCGAGAATTAGCTAAGTGCAAGGCTATTTCAAAAATATTCGTTGATCTACGCTCACATACATGTCATTGGACATACAACTGTTTTCGGCTAAAAGATTCTATGCGCATATACTACACTACGAACACAAGTAAACATATTAAGCACAAATAAAACCCGTTAAATGCCAAGGTTTAGCCATATTGTTGCGGATTTAAATAAACACAGCCATAGAAGCCAATGGAAGGTCAAAAGAAAAAAATGAATTTGCATAGCTATATTTTTAAACTTATAATAAAACAAACATGTATTAATAGGTATTCTGGGTACGACCGCGTCAGAATACTAGGTGGAACACATACATAGCTATCTTCGAAGCTGCTGCTAGTTCTCTGACAGGCACTCAATACTAGTGCGCTTGTCGCCGCTATCTGCAACGAAGCCAAAACGTAAACAACAAGTGTTCCACCTAGTATTCAGACGCTGTCGTACCCAGAAGACTTAGTACTAAAAGTTAGTGATTGTGGCCATGGAAGCCTAATTTCCTATAATTATTACCCCAATTATTAAGAGAACAAATAATACTGTAGCGTGCGATTATCTAAATAGCCAAATAAAACTTTAGTAAACCTATAATATGACACCGTTTTTATTAGATCTTTGAGCAAACAATATTTTTAATTCCCCTTGGTCTCGGAAGCCTGTACATGGAACCCACAAAGCAAAGAAAGCAATGAGGTGGTACAGTTCAATAGTGAACTTTATAGATAATGTTGAAGCGGCAACACCGGGACACGAACTTCAAAACATATCAGTATTGGTTTCACAGTCCATTGCGCTATCAACTCCCCAAACAACAACAACAACCACAATGGTCAAACTGTTCGGAGAATTTTTAAACCTTAATATAAATAATATTTTTTTTTAACTGTATTAGGTTATATATTTAACTACCGATCTAATTTTCCAGATAGTGGACCTTGCAGCCCCCGCACTGTCCCAGGGTACGCACTCTGGTTGTTCCCTCACCCAACAGCTCTGTAGCTCTAGCTGCTCACCCTGGAGCGATTGTGAGGCATCGCTCAGCGGAGGTTCTAAATGTAGATGTAGACCAGGATACACTGGGTTGTCCTGCTCCTCGCCCACCGTCCCTGCTAGCCTGTTGGACCGAGGGTACATAAAGTACGCCCTCAGCTTCGAGCCCGACCCGTACTCGACAACTCTGCAACTCAGGTTCCGCACCAGAGACCCTGCAGGAGAGTTGTTTAGGCTGGTCGACCAGAGGCAGAGGGAGTACATTATCCTCGAGGTAAGATTTTTACTTAGGTAAAAAATTAAGATGGCTTTGGCATTGACTGTGTTATAAGATAGACACGTATATTTTTTTGTGTTTTAGGAAAAAATATGAGTCATAGCTAATTTAGATTAAAAAAGGGCCCTGAATATTGACTAAAGTATTTATATTCATAATTTATATTATATTTATATTTATAGAAAGTATTTTAAAAATACCAAAGGGATGTATTAATATAGCATATTCCTTTGATTTAATTATTTACCTAAACATTTCGTAAGAGAGTGAATTTTTATTAATAACAACCACACCATTACTTAATCCATTATATTAAGTGTTGTGGGCCGTGTATATGTTAAATAGTAATAAAATGTCCATCTGAGTAGTTGAAAGTTTAAATACCCTTTATTATTTGTATTTCTTTGTTTTTGGTTGATAAAATATCCAACGTAAATCTCTTGCAGGGATTTGACCTCGTTGACAATTTGGAAATAAACGACAATTCAGTTGCCTAGGCTACAACTCGTTGAAACAGATAAAGATAATCCTGTCGCTTCGTTTCCAAACCCACTTCCGTTCTTGATACACTGTATTACAGTTACCACCGGAGGAAAACAAGTTTATTTTCATTTGAGGCGTTTTAGCCAAAACCACAAACTTCAATGACATTTTCGATATCCCTACCAATAGATTTTACCAATGTTTGTTCTTAGACAATAATATAACCCGGTTGTGGTCTTCTAAAATACGAAATATACAATTGATGAGTATTAAGTGTTTTTCATTTTAACGTGGCATATTTATATTGAAAATTATTTTTATCAATCCACTAACCATCTCATAATATTTACCAGGCCTTGACATTTGTTTGCTCTGGCATAACTAATTGTTTATTGGAAGACTATTTTATATATTTATACAGTATTTAACCATTTAAATGTATTTTGCTCACAAATCCTACATTACAAAATCAAAAATAATATTTTTGTTTAATTCAATAATTTTATTACATTGCTTTTACGTTATGGTAACTACACGACGTAGCCTGAACATATATTCTATGCTATATTTTACAATAGTTAAATAAAATAACTTTTTAGAGTAAATTAAGATGGCATATGCACTTAAGATTTCTTGAACAGCACATACCACTACATATACACACACATAAAATCACGGACTTTTACACATTTTATGACATTTCAATCTATTTTAAATTCAGATAAAATATATTTTGTAGTTCATATTTTTTACCTAGCGCAATTAGTTGGCTAATTTGTATCTTAGTTGTTTATATTAAAATTTTAAATATTTCATCGTGGTAATGTACAGTTAATCCGTTTATGTTGGAAGATTCATAACGTGTTTTAGTTTTTTAATACATAAATGAAATCAAGGTACAAGAGGAAATTACATGAGAAAATCTTACAGTTTAATACATTTATATACTGTAAAACGTTAATATATATTGTATACATATTGATAACAATATTGATTAACACATATTGATTTACCTGGGGCACTTGTTTCCGAAATTTCGTTAATATTTATCTTTTCAAATAACAGAATTGTATTATCTATCTCGGTATTTCATAAACTTTATTGAAATCATCAAATGTGTTTTAAGCATCTATGTTAATCAAATTTACTAACTTATTTGTTCGTAAGATCGTTAAGGTCGATCAAATTTTGTACATTTCCCATAATTGTTATCCTATTGTGCCTTTGTTTTCCAGATAAACAAGAGGAACATTCAAGCAAGGATGAACCTCAATAGCATGAAGCCCAAGGAAATAATTATTTCACTGTCGCATGTTAACGTGTCTGACGGTAGATGGCATGTGGTTAAGGTAAATTCATCCTACTATTATACAGGGCCTCTCGGAAGTAAAAACAAAAAGTTTGAAATTGGGTTTACCTTATGTGTAAAGAAGAAGAAAAAAAACTAAATATAATATGTTTAAACTTTTTTAATAATATATCCACCATTATTTTTTTTATTTAATAAATTTTATTTAAATCTTTTAAAACTATGTTTACAACACTTAGTATATTAATTTAAATAGCAATAATGGAAAAAAAACTATGTTATTTAGATCTCTGAATACCGCATTATAGTCATCAAGTTAAAAAATACCGAATAACAAATATTTGTAATATCATGATTTTTATTTAATAAGACAAAATAAGAGTAAGCTAGTCAAGGGTACCTCATTTTCAAACATTTTACAACTACATATTGTGATATTTCAAGTATTTATAATTTGTAGGAAATGTTAAATGAAAAATAAAAGTGTACTTTACATAGGCCAATTTCTATAATATCAACATTTTTTTCAATAATAATTCAAGTTATAAAAAATTAAAACAAACCTAATTTTGTAACAAATAAAATTTTTATTGATTTTATTTTGGCAATGGTTTACTAATAATAAAATATTAGTATACTATTGCCAAAATAAAATCAATAAAAATTTTAAATACCAAATTTCATAAAGATATCTTTGTAAGTTTTAAATGTTTAAGATTTGAAAACAAAAACAAAATGGCAAATATCTCGATGTAAGGGCGTTTTTTTTATATATGCATTATGCATAATATTAGTTTAATTTTTACTCATAAAAACCTATTCAAAAATGTTTTGTACTTACATACTTGGACACCCAGTGTTCCAATTGTTTTAAAAACTTAATGTGTTTAGATTTTCAGGCTAACATCATGAACAAATATTTTCAAACCCCTATTAGAAAACTGTGGGTATCACAGGTTACTTTGGGTGGAACTGAGCCTTTAATGGAGGCCCGAGGTGGATTAAGATATTCCAGATTATATTAGGTCATACATAAGTATGTTGTCTTACCCGGCTTTAATATTTTCTCATACTTTTCAAACATATCGTTGTTGGTTTATAGGTGGGGTAATAGTACTGATACACTTTAAATACTGCAGATGGATCACTTTATTAAGTGCATACATGGGTTAAGATGAATTCCGCATTTGTTGTGTTAGATGGTACGACACGGGTCTTCCATCTCTCTCCGGCTCGATGGAGGAGAAGGTAGAAATATCAACGAGAGCTTTGTGTTTACTGGGCATCAGCTGATAACTGTTGATAAGCAAGAGGGTGTTTATGCGGGAGGACCACCGGAGCATATGGCGGGGAAAAATGTCGTCTTAGCCTATCTCAGTGAAGGTAGTATCTTTGTTGTTTTAAATTTTGTATTGGTTTCCGTTGCTATAAATTATTTGTTTAAAGATTTTTTTTATCACCCCAGTATTAACCTCACGTTCCTTTGCATATTTCACGGACTTGATTTAAATTATCAATGAATTAACAAAAGAATTTTCTTTTGAACGAAATAAATACGTACTGTAAGCGGTTTAAGGGCTAATTTGGGGGTTGTAAAATGTATTAAATTAATAATTGTATGCGAGTGTTTTATTTATGTGTGTTGCCGATAGGAATTACATTTGTAAAAAAATATTTATAGGGGTTTTTAATTAAATCTAAAACGCTTTCCAATTTTTCACCTATTTCCTCTTTGATTATATTATCAACAACACTACAATTATAAAAAATAAATCAAGTTTTGTTTTACTAAATTTGACAAATAAAGCTGCTCAGTCAAACAGTTTAGCTTTTATATCCATGTTTTTTTACCAAACTGTTAAACGACTTATAGTAGATCTAAAATCTTAAACAAAAAAAAAACATTGTGTTGTCTTTTAATACATGCACAATATTGTGTTATAAATTTGAAGCTGAATTGTTACTGATGCTGGCATTCTGATACACAGTATCTTTTTAAACCCACCATGAATAGTTAAACTGCAAATTACAATTTAAAGCTCTACTTAAAATACTACATCAAAGAACACTGTCAAGTTTAGAAATAATAATAATTTTTCTGTGAAAGAGAAGTTTCAATAAGGAATGAGTTGAACGAATATAAAAGTTCTTTTAGAATTCCATATTTAATTAGGATATTATATTATGAATATGCGTAGTGATATTCTATTATTTTTATTTTATTAAGGATTCGTTATGATACTAATTAGTTTAAGAAACTTTGTCTAGGCTACCTACAGTAGACACTAATTTAAATTTGTATTGAATTTAAATATGATAAATATGCTAAACGTTCTAATCGTCTACATGTAGACTTGCCATACAATAAACTGGCTAACATATCACCCATGACATAATGTAATAAATATTTTATTTTTTTATTATTATAACGACACGATCTGTACTATGATGAAATACAGGCATTATTTCTCTTAAAAGGAGAGATTGTTGAAGGATTCCTTGAAATTCTCGTGAAAACTTCATGTAAAAACATTTGACAATGAAAGAATGAATAAATCTTTATTCCAAAAGCATAATACAAAAAAGGACAGAACGTATATACGTTGAAAAAAATACTAAAATGTGACATTAATAAAAAAAGTATTATATTTAAAACGTCAAATTATTGTTATAAAACTTATTACAAAGTTAAAAAACATTTCTGTACTTACTTTTGTTACTTATTCGAAATATATATTTTTTAAATTTATAAGAGCTTTTATTCAGCCCTGGGCAGTACCATGAGCATAGGATACATCCAAAAGAATCATCTAGGGTTTTTGTAAACTTTTTTTTATGAAAAATTTGATCAAAAGAGAATTAGACATAGAAGTTGGACCTTAGGTAAAAACCCCTAAAAAAGTACAAAACCTTTTAGGTTCCCTTCCTCGTTTATATACAAAATTTACTATTTATTACTCTATCTTTGTTACAAATGGCTATTGCCTAGATTTTAGGTCTAAGGAGTTCTGTATACTCCATTACCTTGCTTGTTTAACAACCTTCCCACTCTACCAGGTTGTCTGGACGATGTTCGACTAGATGGTCACCCCCTCCCACTACCTCCCTCTACCAACGGGTCCCAGTGGGCCCAGGTGGCCGCCTCCCAAGGTCTAGAGGCTCACTGTCACTCCAGGAATGTCTGTGTAGACGTCAAATGTCCCGACACGTACCTGTGCCGAGATACATGGAACGATTATGTCTGCGAGTGAGTTTTAAATATCACCCAAATCGAAATGTGTGATCAGTTTGCGTTGTATCCTCTAGGTATAAGATGACATGATTTGCGAGAAAGAAAGAAATTTTACCATATAAACAACTACTTATCTTTACAGTGTTTTTTCCCAGAAAGCTTATTGAAATGTTTGAAATCTGAAATGCAAGATTTTAGGTGTGTTTAATACAAGGATCAACAGTAATTTATGTGAATATACATCTTAGTTAGTTACGCTTTCCTTAATGACAAGCCCCATACCGGCAAACCTCATTAGGTAAGAGAAAGCTAACTAATTTCAGCACGAGCGTTTAGTATAAAACAGAAGAGAATGCATACTTAATATAATTATTGCATTGTTTCACCATTTAATTTTTTCATAAATATTCCATCAATAATAGTGTATATAACTTATTTGCTTATAATATGTATTTTTAATAACTTTAAAATGCCCTTCCCTAACTCTTATTGAGGAAAAATATCGAAGACGTTTTTTAAGTAATTATTTACTCAAATACCTTATCGAGTCATTGGCTTTTATAAAAACAAATGTTTCTCCCCCTACATAGATGCGGTGAGGGCAAGACTGTTTCCCTGGACGGCAGGATCTGTGAAGACATAGATGAGTGCCTAGGTTCTCCATGTCTCAATGGAGGTGTCTGTGTGAACCAAGACACTGGGACGAGGTCCTCCTTGGGGTATCGCTGTGACTGTCCAGACGGTTTCTGGGGTCAGAAATGTGAACTGCTGCAGGAGAGACAGTCCATGAGGATTGGACTTGGAGCCCTATTCACAATTGTTGGCTGTGTTCTTTTTATACTAGGTAAGCGGCTTCTTGAGGAACGCTGAACAGGCCTAAAAATGCCTGATTTTCAACATTAGGTCTAATTTATACCAATGCTACCTTTAAGTACTATGCATTAAACCAAGACTTTTTTACTTATAACACCGTCATAAGTAAATTTACGAAACAAACTCAATACAATATTTCCAAAGCCGTTTCATCTACTAAATAATATAAGTTTTCGTCATATGCCTGGAAATAAAAATAAGTGTTGTCATTTTAAAGTAGTTATCAGTACAATATATGAAATAATTATTTTAATCCATGATCTTATTTGTTTTTTGCGTGAATATAATCAGCCTAATTGTCTGGATTTATTATTGATTGTACTAACGCCAGTGGTATACCAAAGCATAATTTTCAAGTTATACTGGCTTCTGGATTGTCAGAACTAAGATACCTATTTTTGGCCCCTTTGCAAGGTTTTATTAAAACGGATCTGAGAAGCTTAAAACAATGTTAATTCTAATGTTCTATATACCATTTTGTTTGGAAAATCATGGGCTTCAATATTATATATAAAACATAAGGAACATTCTTTCAAAAAAAAATTTTTAGGTAAAAAAAATATAATTTCGAAAATTTTCAAAAAAAAAATAAGTTCGCGCTCAATGAAATTGTATAAATTATAGGCCTATAAATATTTGAAAATAGACACTTTGTTCTAAATTTAATGAGGATTACAAATATATAATCATATAGCGAGGTAAGTTATCAAAAAAATAATTTATGAGCGAAAAACGGATTTCAGTACATAGCGTTTAGCTAAGAATGCATAGCCTAACCATAGCTAGGAATCTGGCTGATAATTTACATCAATATCACTACCTACTTCTTCAGGATCATCAACCAGCACTTCAAAACCACTTAAATCGTCTTATAATGCACCACGTATATCACTACTTTTGATTTTTAACACTAAAACAATGATAAACGTAATAAAACACATCAGTCATCGGTCCGGGGGAACCTAGCTGTTTACAAATACACGCACGTCGGCTGTCTGCTACAATATTTTCGGAACTAAAATGAATAGCGCTTAGAGACAGGCCTCTGGAGAAAGCTTAGAATATTACGGAAAGAACGATACCTAACTCGATCCAGTTCAATCCGATTCAGTCAGTCATAGAGCCTTCGCCGTAAACGATGTTTGTGCGTCTTAAACTCGACGCGTGACCCTACACAAAGTGTGTTGTGCGTCTATTTTTTGACGCGTGACCCTCGGAGGGCTAGGGAACCATTACTAACCATTAACAACCATTATTAACCATTAACCATTCACAATACTTCACGCTGAAATCATTAAAAGCTATACATTATAAGTTATACGGAAGAATGTTGAGTAAAGAATATAACGTTCTATTAAAAAGAAAAATATAATAGTTGTAATATTAAATACCGGTCGATCAGATGCTAACTGGGCACGAGATAGAGTGACGGTTTAAAGTAGTACCTTGCATATGTTAAGCACCTGTGACCTAATAATTTTTTTACTGTGGATTATTAAAAACCAATTATTAAAACACGGTTCCACTATCATCCATTGTTGGAAGGAGTCTTCAATTATAGTCTGATTATAGCCAATTAATTTTAGCACTAATAAGGTTTAAATTACCTGGCTTCTGTCATCGATCCTCGGTAGTTTTATGAAACTACAGCTGTTTCATGCCTATCACTGGCACATCTTCAGGTTTGTTGAACGCCAGCTTCTTTATAAAACATCCCTCGTTGTTGAGTTCGTCATGGTTACACAAAAAACATGTTGACATTTACACACACGAAAACACACACGAAACATTTAAACATTAATTAAAGAGCGACTGCGAAACGTGATGCGGTGCCGGTGATGGATAAGTCGCGACTGTCACGTGTCGGCAGCGTTGACCCCTACCCCTGTTCTATCCTTATCTTTTCTTTCCTTGGTTTGGTAATCAGATATCAGAATGGCTGTGTTGTAAATTATATTAGACTCGAAGGACTGTTTTTCGTTCAAAATATGACGTGGTTGTTCTTTTGATGCCTTATATATTTCGTATTCTTCTATTGTGTCCATATGGCGTCCTTTATTGCAAAAATGTAATATATCTAGGTTATTGTGAATGTCTGTATAGTTATGGTTTGTGGTTGTTAGGTGGTTGGAAAAAGCTGATTTAGAATTCTTTTTTGGTAGGTGCTCTTTATTTTTTATTTTTTTTTTTATTTTTTTTTATTTTTTTTTTTTTAAAGAGGTTGGCGGCCTCTTTTAACCTTGCATTTGCCCGTCCACATAGACTAAGCGCCCGTGCGTGGATCGTTTTACAGCAAAGCAAGGAGTGAGCCGGTACAGTACAAAGGTGAACTGTACTGATAAAATGTTATCGGCAGTGACCAGGATCCGAACCCACGACATCGCTGCCTTGGGCCCGAAGTCCGCGACGCTACCGACTGAGCCACCGACTCACTAAATCGGGTTGTGAAAGATCTGGCAGTTTGTCCTATGTAAAAGCTGGGACAATTGTCACATTTTAATCTATAGATTCCGGTTTTGTTGTTGTTATTAGTGTGGGACTAGTTCTTGACTCTGATCAATGACGACAGCTTGTTTGTAGTCTTAAATGACACTGTTACGTCATTTTTTGCCAGTTCTTTTCGCAGAGTATCATTTAAAACCACACCGAATTTAGCGCTAACGTATTTTTTATTATTTTCTCTGGGGGTTATTTCGGTTCGGCTACGGTGTTTTGAGATCAATTTGTCTATGAGGCTGCTACTGTATCCATTTGACACTGCAATATGTTTTAGTATTCTAACTTCGTTAATGTAGTTGGTTGGGTTGAGTGGTACGGTGAGTAGACGATGGACGAAACTATTGTGGACACAATAGAAGAATACGCAATATATAAGGCATCAAAAGAACAGCCACATCATATTTTGAACGAAAAACAGTCCTCCGAGTCTAATATAATTTACAACACAGCCATTCTGATATCTGATTACCAAACCAAGGAAAGCAAAGATAAGGATAGAACAGGGGTAGGGGTCAACGCTGCCGACACGTGACCGTCGCGACTTATCCATCACCGGCGCCGCATCACGTTTCGCAGTCGTTCTTTAATTAATGTTTAAATGTTTCGTGTGTGTTTTCGTGTGTGTAAATGTCAACATGTTTTTTGTGTAACCATGACGAACTCAACACCGAGAGATGTTTTATAAAGAAGCTGGCGTTCAACAAACCTGAAGATGTGCCAGTGATAGGCATGAAACAGCTGTAGTTTCATAAAACTACCGAGGATCGATGACAGAAGCCAGGTAATTTAAACCTTATTAGTGCTAATTTTAACGATCCAGAGGCCAACCATCATGAAATTAATTTTAGCATGTCACAAATTATTGGACCGCTTGTCATATTTCTCTGCAACGTTCTTCAGTGTTACCACATCCAATTGGCTTCTTATTTTGACTACAACACTTGTTTTTTCCAGTTCTAATAGCTTTATTCGTGGCGTACACACGACGCCGAGATGCCACTTCCATCAAGAAGACCTCTGATGATGACGTCAGAGAGAATATCATCAGTTACAATGATGAGGGTGGAGGACAAGACGACCTCAACGCTTTCGATCTTCTCCCGCTCAACTCGTCCGCACCCGGCAATGCGGCAATGGTCAGGACGAGCAACAAAAAACTTCAAGGTAAGGAATCAACCACAGTCAGTAAACTTAAGTTTCCCCTTGAAATGTAACATTACAAGAGATCATGTAAACTATTCCTAACCAACGAAGGTTTCACACTGGTTTCTTATGAACCTTATAAAAATCATTTTTACGGTAAATAATCGTAAAAAAAAACATAGATATTCCTAAGAATAAACCCCCCCAAGCTTGATTGGTTAACAACCTAAATTTTTATGGGTATTTTCTGACATTTTTGCTTCAAAAAATGATGTACGAATAATATGAAAGGTTACTTTTGGTCCCTCATCAGTCTTTTAATTCCGTCGTGTCTACTGTGCAACCTGCGTCGGTCTGTCGTTCTATTAAATGTGACTGGCCTTCCTAAATGTTTTTATTTTAAAACTGTTAACTTTATGTTTCAACAGGTGTTTATATATCAACGAAAACTTCCGTAAATTTATTGACTAATTTTATGAGGGTTTGAAAATTGTAACCGAAACTAGTTACCCCAGACTACGCACAAAAAGACTGAAGACGCACAAAAAGTTACGCAACCTATCATATTATTTGTTTGTAGGTAGCCGAATGGTTATAGTGCTGACTTCATATCTGAAGGTCGCTAGTTAAAATCCAAGCGACATCTTTACCTGACCCAGGTTCTATTTGTCATTGGGCTGTCAATTTATCATGTTATTTAACAAAACTCTGACGCTTTAGATGGTACAAGACTAGGGTTTTGCCTGTTCCTTAAAAAAAAACTTGAGAATACCAATGGCATGGATAAAATACCAAAATCTCAACATCATACCAAATATTTCAAAAAATGCTTGATCACATAAATATATGTTTTAAAACCAAAATAGTTTTATAATAACGTGGGATTATTTGACATTCTCAGCTAAGCAATGTTTATGAAAGGAACTCCACGTACGCACAAAATATAAGTTTTATTTGGTTTACCTTGTTGAGTCAAGGATAAGATGAGTGCTTCTGTTGTTTCTGTAGAAACTTTTGAGTGGCAAAATAAACTGTGTCGAGTTGCCCCGTGCTATCGATTAATTATATCCCAGTTTTCATTTATTTTTTTCTTTTCAGTAAGAACATAGGTACTTCGCAATGTATGTTACATGTACAAATTTATGTTTTATGTAGCTTTCTTACTTACAAAAAAAGTTATCAAGTATGGGTGTATGAATAAACAATATTTTTCGGAGATAAGCGGCTATAGGTACGGACAGTTTGCCAGGAAATTAACAAGTACAAATTATAAATATTTCTTATCACTATGAGCTGTGTTGCAAGGGCAAGTCTATTCAGTAAATCAACCATCCGAACCATCCGACCAATAATACCAGCCAATTCGATTGGATACTTCTGAAAATACATTTATTGACCGCTAGGCCAAGTTAAAAACTCAATTGAAACCTGCACTACTTCATCTTATTCCTGGTTTTATTTTCTACTAACAACGACGGCAGCACATCCCAGCTTGGACGTTTCTAGGTTTATTCGAATGCATTCGATGAATCTTCAATATAACTTATCTTTGCATTATGGTCGATCATCTCGTAGTTATTCCAATTTTGACGGAAACCCTAGGATGAGTAATTGTAAGTTAAACAAAAGGTATAACGTTTCGAGCATAATTAATTACTTTTTTATCACAACACTATTAGGTATGTTAAAAGCCTATTAACCTGTCTTATTGTTGCAGTGCCCGAGTTGATAGAAGAGACTAGCCTAGAGTCGAGGATAGAAGGAAGGCGTAAACGAGAGGACGTTGACCCCAGCGAGCCAATGGGAGACGACTTGAGGAGTTACGCTTTCGAGGGATGTTGTGAAAGTGTTGTTGGGTCTCTGTCGTCGCTGGAGTCTTGTAAGTTTCAATATTTGTCAGACACCTTGAGAAGTAAAAATGCTTCACAGTCAGTTTTGATCATGTAGAGCGTGGTAATAATTTAAATTAAAAGTGTTGTTAAAATTGTGCTTATCTAGTTTAATATGAATCCGAGCCAAGAATAACATACTTTTATCTACAACAGTTTTTTAAAGTAGCAGTTTCAGTTCAGTTCTTAGAATTGGAAAGCTTAACATAACAACATTGTTTCTTACATAACAGCATAGTTTTGCTTAGCAACACGGGTAATGGACGAATACGGTTCAAGTATTAAGATCGAAGAAGTAAAATTGTAATGCTTAGAACTTCAGCTAATCAGCTGTTTACTTAGTTGTTAACGATTGGTGTAATTAGTGATTGGTACCAATGAACACATAACCTTATAAGATTCTTTATGTAGTATCTCAGAGTTAGTATCATTGATGGTACAATGAGTCATCAATGTCAGTGGCAATGAGAGGTTATAAACAAAAACATACCATTATTAACAGTGTCGTCAACACTATTTTTACGCGATTGTTGCGTAAACTACTTTTACAGAACAATTAAGCATCGAGAAATTTCATGTATTGAGAAATTAGATTACGTATTTGGACAAATTTTTTTCTTGTAGTTAAATTTGATATTCTAATTTTAAATTATTTTTGAAAACAATTTTGTTGTGAGATCACTCTAAATGCATGGCAGACAATACGTAAATGTACTGAATTCTTCCGTGTAAATAGAAATATTAACGCAGAAACCATTCTCTTTGGCTGAAAACATAGGCCTAGTCTATAAATTAGCACATTTTTTGAGCTGTAATTGAAAAATCTCTACCTTCTTATCTTCGACAAATAAAATAAGAATTTTAATGTTTTAGCTTAAATTATTGAAAGGTTTTCTAGTTCCGCACTATATTCCCCAGGGGTTAAGAGTTATATGTTTTATGACTTTCCTGATAAATGTACAATGTTTTATAGTGATCCTCTGTTTCTTTAATGTATTGATTTATTTGTTAAGAGTTAACTTTTATTTAAATTGTAATTTGATTTAAAAAACCTCTATGTAACGATAGATAATAGAATAACTATGCTACACAATGTAAAAATTGTCAAGAGCAATGAATAAATAAATATTTAGACAGGATGCAATTAAAATCAATAAATAAATATATTTTAAATAATATAATAATAATATAATAATAATATAATAGTACATAATTATAATTATATAATAAAATAAATAACATATTTATTTATTTATTGAAATTCTAAAATACGGACTCAAGTTCACTTAAAGCACAGAATCTTAAACTACTTTTAGTTATATTTTAGTATAATCTTCAGCACATCTACCATTATGTTCACACAATTTCTTTCTGTCACCTTCCTAGATGGCAATTGCTCCTGATATTGGCAATCAGAATTTCAATCAGGACCGTAAGATCTAGCTGTCAAAACACTAATGTATACCAGTCACTATCAACGACAAACATGCTCATGTGTTTTATTATAGACAAATAGAATTAAATATAGACCGACACCAGTGCATAAGTTCTGGTGTCCACTGCTAGGAGTGCCGTGTAGATATGGCGCACGCGCAACGTGACTACACGGCACTCCTAACGGTGGACGCCAGAACTTATGCCAACCACAGCACTGCTTCGGTCTATATGAAATTATAATTGTCTATGGTTTTACGAAGCTTAGGCGTTTTAATATTAAATACCTTTTAAACCTTATTTAAACCATAATTTAAATCCTGCCCCTGGCAGGATTAAGTTCTGGACTTAACGGATTTTGCTAGATCCTTGACTCAGCCAGAGACGAGAATCTAAATTAAGTTCTGGACTTATAGGTCCATGACTCAGCGAGTCAATTTTTAAACTCCAGAGTCTAACCAGCCAAATAAACTCCGGAGTCTAATAAGTTCTGGACTTCGCTAACGGCCTAACTCAGCAAGCCATTTCTTAGACTCCAGAGTCTAAAGCCGGTTTAAGTCTAGAACTTAGCTAAATCCCGAGCTCAGCAACCGGCCCTTAATGACCTTTTGATCAGGTATTATCTTTGGGTCATTAAAAAAGTTACTTTTAATTTCTTTTGTTTTTGTCTCTTAATCACAATTTAAATGTAAACTAGAGGTTAAAATACCTTTAATCCTTCAATCCGATCAACTTCAATGATGAGCACCGGCCGGTTTCAGACTGACGGACTAAAGGCATCTTAACATTTAATATTTACTTTATTTTGTATTAGTTTTTATATTTTTTTTTATTCCCAGGTGCAGACCCTGACGAGCCAGTCAGGTACGTCATGTTGGGTCCAAGGTTTGCCAGACTGGTCAGCATATACTCATCTGCACAAACTCAATCTACAACGGAGGGTGTCTTAGAGGCAACTGTATAGTGAATATTCCTAGTAAGTATGTTTCATTTCCATTCTATTCTTCTGTGGTATATTTGAAATTGTAATATTTTCTATCCAAGGGCGTTTGGCCTAAGATATACTAATTAACTTTCATCAAAATAACTATATCTGACTTTAATTAAATAATAATCATTTTAGACCAAGAAGAAAATTGTATTTCCTTTCTATTTGAAATTTATTCTCCTTTTTTATTTTTTTAAGATCTTTTGGGAAATTTAAACTACACAGTAAAGAGTAAAAACGACGATTTTTAATGTTTTTTTTATTGGATTTTTTTTAAATTTGATGAATCGTTTATCCAATGTAAAGTAAATTAAATTGTTTGTATTTGAATGGTTAGTCAAAACACGATCAAGTCTATGCCATATCAAATTACATTATGCATGGATATAAATTATTATCAGGTACTTAACTAACAAATCAATTTTTTACAGATATTTGGATACATCAAATTGCTTCAAACGTTAAAATGATCAAAAGACGGATGTGCTTCAATTTTAAACTCCTCTTTGGATTTTATTTTACTGGGGACACTTAATGAATACATATATTTTACTATTAGATCATTGAGTTTTAAGTAAATTAATAGTACTTTATTTTACAACTACTACCTATGTAAACTACAAATTATTAATTACTTTACGAATAAGTTCGCATAATTTGATATCTCAGCGTATATTCTCGTTAAAGGTGATGTTGTTAAGGTCAACAAATGTTAAATTAACACATGTTTGAGCTGTAATTTAAAAATCTATATCTTGTTAACTTCAACAAATAAAATAAAAATTGTAATGTTTCAGCTTTAATTATTGAAAGGTTTTCTCGTGTGCGGTTGAAACAGTGCTACTACTATTTTTAAACAATTCATATTTCATAGTTTGATATATAATCTGATTATAAATTTGAAATGTGTTCAAACAATAAAAAATAGACAAGTAACCAAACAGATTAAATGGAATAAACAATGTGTTGAAATTTGTTTACTTCCTGCATGAAATGCATTATTACAATGTTTGAAAGAATGTAATTATGTAAATATATTCTGTAAAATAATGTTTGTAACATTTAAATCAAAATATTTGTACGAGCTTAGCAAATAAACTATTTTTTGTTCCTAAGTGGCATTCTAATATTCCTTTGTTTAGTATTTTACTTAATCATAGGTTTAGATACTTGATTTTAAAACAGTGTGTAAATTAGGTCTTGAAACAAATCAGTATTATTTTTAAAACCGAAATAGATAGAAATATTCAGTTTGTAGCATTGATTGTTACAAAGGTTCCGCTATTTTTTACACCAAGAAATAGTATAACCCTCCTAACAGGTTAGGGGGTAGGGAATGACTTATTTTTTTTTCAAATAGCAACCCCTATTGAGTGACCCCTCATTGTGAAGGCCTTATAAAAAAAACTCAATAACGCAAATCCAAGGTGAATATTAGGTGAATAGGGTATTCCAAAATGGGTGCTTTTTCACATAAATCAAATTTTGGAATACCCACCATTTAGGCTAGGGATTAAATATCTACCTTGGGTTTGTGTCATTGTATTAAACAAATAAATAACCCCCATCGCCTAACCTGTTAAAGGGGTTAATAAATATTGTTGATTGAATAAATTGCGGAGCCTTTGTTAATAATAAATTCCACAAGTAGAATATTTCTAATTATTATGGTTTAAAAAATACAGATTTGTTTCCATATTTGTTGTGCAATTTTGGAATATCTGCAATTTTTTATAGGGGTTAAATATCCACTTTGGGTTTGCGACATTGTATTTCTTTGGAAAAATCCTTCAACATGATGGGTCACTCAATAGGGGTAGATATTTGAAAAAAATAGTCACTCCCTACCCCCTATCCTGTTAGGGGGGTTTAAATATTTTTTTATGTAAAAATTACGGAACATTTGTTAACAGTCAACGCCACAAACAGAATATAATCTATTTCGGTTTAAAAAATACAGATTTGTTACAAGACTTAATTTACACACTGTATATTATTTAATTTTTTTATAGACCACGAAGAAGATTAAAAAAACATTTAGGTCAAAGAATCATATAATACTGGGAACATGTATACAACATATGTCAAATATAACTACATATCTTTCTATTAGTAAAGGAAATAGACTATTAAAATAAATATTTTAAATTTAAGAATTCATATGTAAAATGATATCTCTATGTTAAAGTAATACTAATTGACTTCTGGAATTTTCCAGCAAAACTGCAAAACTGTAAAAATAAAATTAATTCAAAAGTTCAGACAGAACTGACCAAGGGAATTATAGAAGATTTTTCCTACCAGTTGTTTCAAAATTAATTAATTTGTTTTAGAGAAATTAAGTAACTTCATGGATAAGCAGAAAATGTTGAGGTACAGGCAATATGGTTTAAGGTACAACAAATAAAAAAAAACAGGCACTCGTTGATTTCATTAACAGCAGCATAGACATTATGGAGGCTGTACTGTACATACATATTGGTGTTTATGTAAACAACTACAGAATCATCAGCCGAATGGATAAACACGATTGGAACAAATGCTAGAGGGAGAAAAAAACAACCGAAGGAGAAAAATACTTACATACGGTACTAAAGATGTAAACAAAATTTCATGTTTAAACTAAGAAGAACTGCTTCTCAACGATGTTTGAAATAATGCTTATCATTATATATATATATATATATATATATATATATATATATAGAAACCGAAAATTGTAGATCATAGCAGCAAATAATTATCCTTGTAAAACAATATTTATATTTGAAAGCATTGGTCATCTGCCGAAACTGAACTAAACATAACTACTGGACGTTTTTTACCTGTTCTTTTGTTTTGGATGGTTATTCAATAAGTTTTCCACTAGTGATCAACATGTTAGGCATTTTAAATCTAAAAATACTTGTGTAGCCAAACAAACATTCTTCAGGGATATGAAGAAAATGTCGTCTTAAGTACATACAAAAGATTAATGATTTGATGAATAATACAGTCACTTTTTAAATATATATTTTAGAAGCCAATAAATATTAAGGATATGGTAATTTAGAAAGGTTCGACATAAAAAAGAAACACTAAACATATAATCTAAGTAGAAACATTTTTCTAAAAGTTTTTTATATTTTAAACATGACGTTGTATTTTCCGTTAACATTGGTGAACTTCTTTTTCCTTAAAAGTTAGCACTTACAGGTAAGTAGGCCAAGAATAACCTTTCCATTACCAGCATCCTTTAAGATATTTACGGATGTGCTCATGATATTAGTAAATTTTTCTTTGCTCTTTTATACCCTAGACCTGTACTTTTTCGTTTTGAGGTCCCAAGAGGCCAAAAATACCCTCCGTTCAATTCATATATATATATATATAAGTCAAGCAAAAATGATTCGATTTCGATTAAGTTTAGTAGAAACGTGTAAACCTATTTTTATTCAAACGATTTCGCGAATCAGCATGACCGGACTATGGATGGGGGGGGGCTTTATGGGGTTTTCCTATTTTTGACCCAAAAAACACAAAATTTCACGACTTATTTCTGAACTATTTTGTAGAGCTTTAACAAATTATTAATTTTGTGTATTGAAGCGTTTTTGTATACCTAACGGATATGGAGATAGTAAAAAAAAATTATTTCCCGTGTTATTCTCATGGAACTGGTTGTACTGTAGTTTGCTTGCTTATGTTTATTTTAATCAAATTCAAAAATTTGGTTTATTTTATACTAAGCTATCAACATCTCAATATAAAAAAAAAACACGCCTCAATACCTTCCCTGTAGCTGGAAACCTAAGTACTCATTAAAATTAATGTTTTTAATAAGAAATAAATCTGACAACTTTAAGGGAATATTTTAGTAAAAACCACCCAGCTAATGGAAATTCGCTTAGTCTGCAGGTTTGCTGCAGCGGGGTATTGATATTTGGGTTACACGAAAGCAGGCTTTCTAATTGGGGTTCTCGTAATTAAAGAGCCAAACTCTAGAAAATAATGAGTCATAAAAAGTTATAAGTCAAATTCATGAAAAAATTAAAAATATTTTATGTATCTGGAAGTCTTACAGTTTTTAGATAAAAATGTTTTCTTTGAATCTTTCCAACCAATTAAATGGTTTCCTATCATCTTAGATAGTTATGAAACTTCGGATGTAGGCCTATGTTAAGATCGAAGACTATGTGAATATGTTAGAACAATAATTTACTTTAACTAATTCAACATTTACAAATTAGCAGCTGTTTTAAGTTTATAATTTCAATTACATATTCAAGATTTTTTGTCGTAAGATGAGGCTAAATTATGAATAAGTCTAAGTTAATCAGGTTTGACCTAATATTTCCTGATATTAGTTTCTTTTTCATAAATTTCAGCTTTTATCGGCTTTTTTCAAATTTTGTGTCCTTTGACAGACAATTTAACATGTTAAATAAAAGTATTTTTGCAACTATTCCAGAACAATTTTCCATCCCTTAGTAATTAAAATTATAGAAATTACAACGACCACAATGTTTTTATATCGAATCGTACCAAGATAATACTTAGGTCTATGTACTACTTACTACTTCGGTCTACTTGGGTATACTTAGGTACTTACTTAGGTCTTAGGTTTTTTTTTATTTTTTTTATAACCTGCTCTTAATAGTTAGGCGTAACATTTTTTCAATGATTTCTCAGTATGCTCAAACAGGACTACACACCATGACCACTTTGACCCGTTGAAGGATGCAACGAGTCTATAGATGCAACACAGTGCTTAGTCTTTGAGTGCTGGGATCAAATTCCGCTAATCCCCCTCCCCCCCGCTACATGTGTGATAATCCCTTCACCTGGTGGCTTAGATTGTAAATAAATTATGAGAAAAAGGAAAAGGATGCAAAACACTTCCGAAACAAGAAAACAGTACACTGAGTAATTAAGGCAAAGAATTTCCCCTTGGGAAGATAACAAATGGAATATCCTTAAGCTAATTTTAGCTTAACTTAACTTTTAGTTCAACTCTTACTTCTTCATGAAAAATATACTTCTGAAAGATATTTTGGTTTGATATTTATATTAGAATAACTAGTTCGGAAAGTAAATAAATTCATTAAATTAATTAACACTTTAGCAATAATAGTAAATCCCGGGTTCAGTGACTTCTGTGGTTGATTTTTTCAGTAAACAAGGCAGTATACTGTGTATAATAATAATACTTTGTATCAGTAATTGCCTACAACCTTATAGTGGTAGAGTAGTGTACATGACAAAGAAAATACTGTAAAAACGTCTCTTGCTGTCGTTGCAATTAGTGTTCAGTACTTTCAAATACAAAACCGCTTTCTTTTAAATATAAAATCAAGTATAAGTAAATGTAAAATTAAATCAAAAGTTTATAAATTTAAATATACAAGTAATTTAAATACTTAAAAAAATCCTTTAACTATGAATCATCTAAATACTCACTAAATACTTAACAATATATGTTTTTGTTAAAACCAAAGCATTCTATTTCGGCGATCTATATTGTGATACTCAGACCGACCCTATTTCTTTTAATATTAAGGTGTTGTATGACTTAATAATTGTTGGCTCAATAAAAACAACACGTATTGCAAAATGATTAAAGAAAATCAAATATTAGAGATTGAATATAGATACATTACAAGTTGTAAACAAAAAAATATACAATCTTTCTTTCTTATGGTTATTCTGGCTGCTACTAAAGTTGTATTTTGTTAGTAGAAACATGTTGACTCTAACTTGATTCGAAGCTGTTAAACTCAAACGTAAAGTTCGACTGGTTGAGGTCTCAACTAAAACAAATGACCTTATTATACCTTACAAACAATAAAGTTAGTTTCTACACGATCAACAATCTATAAAGTAGCTCGTTTGTTTTAATCTTCTTTTACCTGCTATTTGAAAACGATATCAATTTTGAAGCTTTTACGGTACATCTTCTAATTGGATACTTATGTATGATCATATTAACACGGTAGAATAGTTCAATTACCCGGTGTATTATGGATGTATTTATATTGAAATGAACTTCATTAAAAATGCTTAAAGCAAAAGGATTTTGATAATACCA